GAGAGAGGGCAAAGCTCTGCAATGCTTCCAAATCAAAATGGTTCCAGATTGTTGTGATGCATAAAAATGTTTAAAAGGAAGATTTCCCAGATTCTTCTGCACTTGGAACGTGAAGCCTCCTGTGATGTGAAGTTCCCTGTTTGGCTTATTTCTTTGGTTCCTACTTTTTTTTTTTTGGCTGATTAACTATCTGTAATAGGTTCTGACCCAGACCACCTCCTAACACTGACCAGCAGGGCGAGGGTGCTGATCCTGCCCCTCTGCTCTGCTCTATGAGACCTCACCTGGAGTACTGCATCCAGATTAGTGGAGTCCTCAGTACAGGAGAGACATGGAGCTCTTGAAGTACATCAAAAATGATCCAATGAATGGAACACCTCTCCTACAAGGACAGGCTGAGAGAGCTGGGGCTGTTCAGCCTGGGGAAGAGAAGGCTACAGGGAGAATGAAGAGCAGCCTTACAGTACCTAAACAGGGGCTGTGAGAAAGGAGACAGACTCTGTAGCAGGATCTGTGGGGATAGGACAAGGGAAAATAGCTTCAAACTAAAAGAGTGGAGATGTAGATTGGATATAAGAAAGAAGTTTTTTCCAATAAGATAGCGAAGCACTGGCACAGGTTGCCCATAAAGGTAGTGGATGCCCTGTCCCTGGAGACACCCAAGATCATGTTGGATGGGGCTCTGAGCACCTGATGGAGCTGTAGGTGTTTCCTGTTCATTGTAGGGGAGTTGGACCAGATGATCGTTGAAAGTCTCTTCCAGCTCAAACAATCCTATGATTCTATGGTGACTCAATGTGAGGGCAAGTAGAATTCTTCACACCTCCATCTACTGTCATGGGCTGAGATCTCTAATTTCCCTTGCAGATAGCAGATTTGCTAGACACTGAAGATATTAGTAGATAATGTTCTCAGACAGTGACACCCTCAGAAACCTGGATAGGTGGACAGTGCTTTTCTGCATGCAGCCATTGCCACCTGAGACATCTGTATGCCAGTTAGCATCAGTATAGGTGAGCTGTAGAGCTGTAGTGCTGTCCAATAAGAAAGAGGTCGTGCCAAAACCTGAGAGCCATACGTGGGAGTCTGGCCCAGCTAATGTTTGAAAGTTGCATTCTGTCAGCTCAGCTGCAAATGGATGTATTCAGCTAGAAGAGTCCAGGGCAATGGGATGCTGCTACATCACTCACCTATCTGGCAGAAGGCACAGAAACTGGGATATTGTAGCTGTCCTTTAATGAGGCTTACATGCATCTGACATTTTTGACTGTGTAAACTTCAATCCAGATGTCCTGGTATATCTAACACTGCTGAATTAGTGAGGACCTGGAGTAAGCTGAGCACTCAGAGCATTCAGTTCCTCCGCCATTTATGCTGCTTAGCAATTAGCTCACACTCTGCCTTTGGTTTTAGGACTACTCAGAGAAACACTCTCCAGGACACCCAGATATTTATTACAAGGCAAGTCCTGAGCCACATCACCCAGCCTCACACCAAGGGACCAATCCCTGGCATGCATTTAAGTAGCTTTATTGATGCAGCCTGGTATTCCCAGGGTGCAGCTTTGTTCGTATGGCCAGGAGAGCTCCTGAAAGCCCCAAGAACATAAGGAGGTAAAAGTAAAGGTCCTCAGCGCTTTTTGAATTGAAGTGAGTCTCTTATTTTCCAAGACGCTGCTGTCCCTGTTCCAACTAAGGCTGAGCTCCCAGGACAGCCCAGCCTGGGATGGGCTGTTAGGTTTTTCCCATGCTACTTCATCCCTAGGGCTTCCCAGAATAGAGGACTGCAACCCAATGGAACAGAGCCTGGAGCAAAATCAGTGCTGTGCTGTCTTCTTCATTAGTGCACAGTCAGAGTTGGCAGAGATCCCAAACCTCCTGCTCAGGTCCAAGCAGAGCTGCTGCACATGTGAACGAGGCTGGGTTTTCCTTTATCAGGAGGTGTTTTCTGAGCTGAGCTGGGCAAATTCATATCTTAGGCAACAACTGCCATTTCTGCCTGCAAACAATTCTTTGATCAGAGCACTGCAGAAGCAAGAAGTGATGCACTGGCTCACTGAACCACAAGACCTGCAGAGCTGCTCCAAGGGGTGCTCTGAAAGTAACATCTCCTATTTTACTGTGTTGGCCCACGATGTCAGAGGCGAATGTTAGTAGGATGGCAGTAGAGGTTGAACATTCCCATCAGTATTCTGTTCTTATGTTTTGTTGCTGTGTGACAGATGGCAGCAGTGGGGCAGTCTGACAAAATGATGTCTTACATGGAAGGGCATATAAAGCAAAGGTGTGGAACTGAATCCCTCCACAAGGGAACTGGAGGATGAAATTGTCAAGCCTCTATCCATCATATTTGAAAGGTCATGGCAGTCTGGTTTCCACTGATTGGAAAAGGGGAAACTTAACCTCCATATTCAAGAAGGGAAAAAAAAGAAGATCCAGGGAACTACAGGACAGAGAGTCTCACCTCTGTGCCTGGCAAGATCATTGAGCAGATCCTCCTGAAGGCCCTACTAAGGCATATGGAAAATAAAGATGAGGTGATCAGTAGTAACCAACATGGCTTGACCAAGGGCAAGTCATGCTTGACAAACTTGGTGGCCTTTTATGATGGAGTTACAGCATGACACATCTACCTGGACATGTGCAAAGTGTTTGACTGTCCCACATAACATCTTGGTCGCCATGTTGGAGAAAAATGGATTTGACCACTCACTGGATAAGGAGTTAGCTGAATGGTCACACTCAGAGAGTTACAGTCAGTGGCTCAATGTCCAAGTGGAGACCAGTGACGAGTGGTGTTCCACAGAGATCAGTATTGGGACCAGTGTTTTTTAACACCTTTGTAGGCAACATGGACAGTGGGATCAAGTGCACCCTCATCAAGTTTGCAGATGACACCAAGCTGAGTGGTGCAGATGACATGCTAGAGGGAAGGGATGCTATCCAGAGGAACCTGGACAGGCTGGAGAGGTGGGCCCATGCCAACCTCATGAAGTTCAGACAGGCCAAGTGCGAGGTCCTGCACCTGGGTTGGGGCAATCTTAAGAACAGGTACAGGTTTGGTGGAGAATGGCTTAAGAGCAGCCCTGAGGAGAAGGATTTAGGAGTGTCAATTGATGAAAGATTCAATATGAGCCCACAATGTGCACTTGCATCCCAGAAGGTCCACTGTATCCTGGGTTGCATCAACAGAAGTGTGACCAGCAGGGTGAAGGTGGTGATTCAGTTTCACTGGTGAAAATGCACAGCTATTGGTGATGACTGTATTGAGAAACAGTGTTCTATAGCTGAAAATTTGTTCTATCAAACAGTGTCACTGTGCTCTTTGCAACTTGTGTATGCAAGTTTCCAAGGAATTAAATATGAAGCATTACTTTTGGAGCACGTGCTGGAAAGATATGGTCTTGCACTAATAGGAAGCTTCCTGGGAGGAGTGCAAAAGGTTGGGCTGAAATGAGGAGCTGCTGAGGTCCGTGGTGTGCTCAGCCCAGAGCAGAGCAGGCTGAGGGGAGGCCTGATGGCGGCTGCAGCTCCTCACAGGGAGCGGAGGGCAGCGCTCAGCTCTGCTCTGTGTGACAGCGACAGGGCCTGAGGGAACGGCATGGAGCTGCGACAGGGCAGCTGAGGGTGAGGGAAAGGGTCTGCACCAGAGGACAGTGGGCATGGAACAGCCTGCACAGGGCAGTGGGCACGGCCCCGAGCTGCTGGAGCTCAGGGAGTATTTGGACAGTGCTCTCAGACATTGGGTCTGGTTTTGCATGGTCAAGTGTGGATCTAGGAGTTGGACTCAGTGATCCGTGTGGGCCCATTCCCACTTGGGATATTATAGGGTTCTATGATCTGGCTGCAGGTTCTATGACCAGGCCGTATCTGCCAGCCAAGCTTCACACAACTCCTCACTCAGCCACTGTACACCCTGTACCCAGCACGGACTGTTCACAAACTTCACAGAGACGCCACAGGACATCCCAGCACGTTGGGCCCACAAACGGCCAGCGCTGCAAGCTGGGCCACGTGCCAGGCCTGCAGCTGACCTGGCTGCAGAACCACCCCTGCCTCTGAGGATTCTGTAGCCCAACTCACACTGCAGAGGGCCGCAGGGACCCCAGCTTTAAGCAGCCCCAGATGTTCCCCCAAGCCCCATTCGCTTTCCCAGACACTGATGCACTCTGGTGCAGATGCTCCCATCACTGTGACTCCTCCCAGCGCTCCCAGAACTGCACACACCCCCTGATTTGCAACTCCCCCTCCCTAGCTTTGCCATCCACCTTTCCAGTTTGCAGCCCCTTCCACTTGATTGCAACCCCCTCCTTATTTGCAACCCCTCCATCTATTTGCGATCCGCCTCCCCATCGCTTTGCAATGCCCCCACCCCGATTTGCAACTCCCCCAACTATTTGCAATTCTCCTCAGTCTGCAACCCTTCTACCCCATTATTTACAACCTCTCCATCGGTTTGCAACACCCCCATCGGTTTGCAACACCCCCCATCTATCCTTGTTTGCAACACCCATCTATTTCCAGTTCCCCCTGCCCAGTTTGCCACCTTCCACCATTTCGCAGTCGCCCCCCATCCCCCCATTTTGCAGCAATTCCATCCCCCCGGCGGTTTGCAAGCTTTCACCTATTTACAATTCCCCTCCCCAGTTTTCAAACCCCAACATCCATTTAAACTCCCCCTCCCTCATCAATAAATCAATTCTTAACCCATCCCCAGTGTTTGCAATCCCCCTCCTTAGCTTACTAACTCCCTCCCTCCCCCCCCTCACCCCGCCGCCATCGGTTCCCAACCCGTCTCCACGCTCAGCAGCCACCAGCCCTACCCCCGCCCCCCGGCGACGCGGATTGGCTGCGCGGCTCACGCGAGCCCGGCTGGGAGGGGGGGGTGGAAGCGGCCGCGGTTGTCCGCGAGTAACCCCGCCGCCGGTAGCGCCCCGCGCGACCTTTCTCCCGCATCGGCGGTGACGCGGCGGGCGCGCGCGCGCGTGCTCGCTGCCCCCCCCCCCACTTCCCTTCATCCGCTCGCGCGCGGCAAGATGGCGGCGCTGAGCAAGTCCATCCCCCACAGCTGCTACGAGATCGGGCACACCTGGCACCCGCGCTGCTCCGTCGCCGTCCTACATGTTACGCAGGGTGCGCTGGCCGAATCCCTCCGCATCTACGGCACTCTGTACCTGGTGGGTAGTGGTCGGGGTGGAGGGGTTGGGAGGGGGGAGCTTGGGTTATGGGGGGAAAGGGGAGGAGGAGGTGTTTGGGAAGGGTATGGGGGTGAGGGTGGGGGTGTCACGGTGGGCTGTGAGGGGTGAAGGGCGTAGTGGGGAGTTCTGGGGAGGAGATGGCGTGGGGTGGTGGTAATAAGCGCTGTGAGATGGGTGAGGAGGAGGACGACGACGCTGTGTGTGCTATTTTCAGCATTTCCTGGAGTGGTGAGGCTTGAAATAGAGAACAACGATGTGCCCAGCAGGTTAGCATTATGTCTTTGGCAGCAGTAAGCGTACCACGCACGTGGTGCTGTTGGTGGCACCTTGGGGATGGAGTCGTGGTTAATCAGTGCCTTAGGATCAAGGAGGTACCACTGTGTAATAAAGAAACAAGGCTGAAGGGAATATATTAAGGCTTGGAGGAGCTGAAGTAGTCAGAGAGTATCCTACAGGTGAGATATTTTGGTTTGGGCGTGCAATTAGGCTCAGTTATATCATCTCCATTGGGGCTGGCTTGTGTCCAGCAAGTTAGGGTGTAGGTAGAGGAGCTGGCATCTGTTTGCATCCATCTAAGTAAGCATATCCTGAAAGCTGATCTAAGCTGAAAGCTCTGCAGGTATATTGCTGTCCCCACCTCCGTGTTCTGGCTGTAACGGTGCTCACAGGGCTGAGCAGTGAGCTGGCTGCAAGTGGAGTCTGAAGCAAAGTAAAACAAGTCACTGAGTCATAGAATCATAAAGTAGCTCAGGTTGGAAAAGACCTTAAAGATCATCGAGTCCAAACACAGCCTAACCGTACTACCATAACTAACAACCCTCTGCTAAATCACATCCCTGAGCACCACATCCAAATGGTTTTTAAACACGTCCAGGCATGGTGACTCAACCACCTTCCTGGGGAGCCTATTCCAGTGCTTCACAACCCTTTCAGTAAAGAAGTTTTTCCTGATATCCAGCCTAAATCTCCCTTTTCTCCTGCTCTGTGCCAGTGCTGGTATTATAAAGATATCAAGACATAAAATAGAAGGCAAAGAGTGGGACCACCACAGTCCTGGCATGAATAGTTTAAGCTCCCATTGAGTGAAGACTGTGGGAGCATCAAATGACATGCTAAGGAAACTTAATGGCTGTTTGGTAGCACTGTGGTCTTAAATAGTTGTCATGTCTGGCCGTGAATGTTTTCAGGCTGAATTGGCACAAACAGAAGTTGCCACTGTTTATGTGAGCATATGCTGGGCTGGAACAGGAAGCCAATACCAAGAACATGTCCTCTTCTCCACCTCCCCACCTTCCTTCCGTAATTTTTCCTCTGAGAAGCAGTTTGCCATGCAGGGGCATGAGTACTTGTAAGCAGCAGAGAACAGACCTGAAGTTAGCTATGTAGTGGTTATCCATCCAGTGGTTATCCAGGCTGGCTAAAGATAAAGCACCTTAAAGAGCTCTGTAGTTAAATCAAAGTTCATCAGCAGCCAAACCTGGTAAGTACGTTCCTGCTCGTACCTATGTTACGTTTCCTGCAACAGGGGGTTTTGGAGGAAAGCTCCCCTAAACCTCAGTTGCTCTAAAATCTTGTTGCTACCTAAAGAAGGAGGAAACATTTGCCTTTCTTTGCTCACAGATGCGTAGCTGTACTCTGTGTGGTCCTGGACTTTGAATGTGGTCAAGAAGAGCTACGATAATTCATTCACTAACCCAGAAAGAGGTTTGTCTCCTGCCTGTGGCTAGGCTGTTTTTTCAGCTGCATTAATGAATTGAATTAGCTACTTAGGAGGATTCTGATGAGCACCAGAACCAGCAGCAGGTGAAAGCTGAAAGGGTGCAATAGGGACTGTGGAGGGTGAAGGAGAAGCCTTGCACATTAAGTAGCTTGGCAGGGAAAGAGCACTGCTCAATTGAGAGTCATCCCTGAAGTAATTCTTTGTTGGACTTCAAACTGTATTTGAAAACCTTGTATTTGTAAGTGAAATATCGTGGTTGCACAGCACAAACATTCTGTCCTACATTTAGGTTCACGTGGTAGTGTGAATTCAAATTGCTTTTGTAGTCCTTGTAGTCTTTGTAGTCCTGTCAGTGGATGCTTGGAGTGTTGCTGGTACTGCTTAGTCCCAGTCTAACAGCACAGCATCAAGAAGTTCCACTTCTGTTCTGCTTGTTTGTTCCTTCTGTTGCCACACGTAAATAACTGAGGCAAGTAGGTGGGAGAGTTTGCTCTCAAAAGCTTGTGTGGAAATGAATCAGTATGCATGGATGAGAAGACATTGCCAGAGGTCATTCTGGGAGAGAAGTCCAGAGTCAAACTCATAACATCTACACCCCACATCTCTTAAAAGTTTGGGTGCTCTTCTGTTGTTGAGAGACTGATGGAGCCTAATTTACATGATACTGCTGTTTGATGTGTAACATGCTGGCTTTTGGTACATAGCTGTGAGGAGTCTTTGCTTCGAAATGCTGCTGTTCAGTGGTGGTGATTGTTGTTCTTGTTAGTATATAACAGAGCTTCTGTATTTTTACTTGGCAAAATAGTCTTTAGATCATACTTTCACTGAGGTTGTTTTCACCCTAGTACTAGTTGATTGCTTTAGCAAAAGTAGATTTTGTATCTAAGTGGAAATGTCCCTCCTTGAGCGTATGCTTAGTAACCATACAGTAATTTGTAGATGTAGCCAGTGATCGAGTGGTCCTTTATTTGTTTTCTAGGTGCTTTGGGTCAGCCTGAAAAGCTTCAGTAACAGGAAGGACGTTTGAGGGAAAGGCAAAAAGAAAGGAAGATTCTCCCCCTCTGGGAGGGTTGATATGAGCTAAGGCTCATTGGGTGTTAAATCTGGCAAGGGATGTCAAGGTCTGCAGGAAGGGCTGCTTCAAATGCATCAGTAGCAAAGGGAAGATTGGGGAAAATGTGGCCCTGCTGCTGCATGGGGTGGGCCCTCTGGTGATGCACGATGCAGGGAAGGTGGAGTATTATTTGAAACATTTGTATTGCTTCACTACAACCTCAGAAATGATTTTAGTGTTCTAAAGATAATGTATTCCAGTAATTCATTATCAGTGACAAGCTACGTATGTGTTCCACAATGTGCAGTTAATTGCACTGCCATTAGAATAAATAAGAGTTGAGTTGCATGAGAATTTTGTTTAAGAGAACTCTGTGGTAAAAGCATTATGTGCATTATGGCTCTTTACATTCTTGGTTAGAATGCTGTAATATGGTTTTCCTCTGAGTTGACAGAGTTTATGCTTTTCATTTTCAACACTTGAACTTTTTTAAGGTTGTTTCTATGAGGAAAGCTAAAATAGTTTTCCATGTGTTGTTCTTGTTAATTTCTTCTTTTCTTTAACAAATATTTATGCGAAGGAAGTTTTCGTAATTGTGGTTGGTGATGTTTTTTTGGGGCTGAGTAGTTGGATTAGTTCTGTGCACTTCATTTTCAGAACATCTCAGTACGCACTGCTGCTCCAAGTCCTGTGGATTTGGCCACTCTCCAGAAGAGATCAGAAGACAACGTGGGTTGATGCTGTGTGTAGGGTTGCAGTTTGTGTGTGTAAACACTGCTGCTTACCTGTCTCTTTACCTATCTATCCATCAGCGAAACACCTACAGAACCATTTGTGTCTGTATTATGCCTTAATAAATGAAAGCTTAGCTGTTATTTGTATCAGTTCTTCATTAAGTGATAGTATCCTTCAGGAGAATGGATCTTCCTGGCATTCATACACTGCACAGTAATGTGGTATTTGGGTGGAGATGTACATCTGGCTGGTGGCTTTGTTTGGTTGGAAGCACCCATGTAACTTGTAAAACCTTTTAGATCCAGAGATACCTGAATGCCTGAGGAACCTGAAATACCTTCTTGAAAAATGTCAGCCATGTCCAACTGCTCCTTATGTGTCTGCACTTTGGCTCAAATGGAGCCATGTTTGGATATAAAGGTCATTTTTAAACACCTTGGTGGGTTGATGTGAGCCACAGGTTCCTCCGGAACGGTATTTAATTCATACAGAAGTCATCAACTCCTGAGTTTATAGGTGATATTTTGAAATTTTATTATGAGTTAATTTTTATGTTTTGAGCCACTAATCCTCTGAAACATCATGAAAATAACCAGTGAGGTTTTAGGATTAGAGGCTACTTGAGTTAAGCTGCTGTGTGCAGACAGAATGAGAGGGTAAGAAGGTGGCAACCTGAAGAATTTGGAGGTTATGATGGGTATTTGGTCTCGCTAACATTTTGGATATAAAGTGGCTGGCAGGAATGCTTGTTCTGTAATTAAGACTGCTTACATTTTACAAGTGAAGCGTTCCTTTGTGTAGCTCTTCTGAGAGGTTTGCTTTCTTTGGATCATAGAATGGCCTGGGTTGAAAAGGACCTCAAAGATCATGTTGTTTCAACCTCTGTGATGTGCAGGGTCACCAACCACCAGACCAGGCTGCCCAGAGCCACATCCAGCCTGGATGTACAGCTCCAAATTCAACCAATTGATTATAGCAGACGCTCTCATTTGTGATCTTGTATTTCAGGTGCTCATGCCTTTCCCAAAAGACAGAGATGCCTTCTATGTGTTGAATATGCTGAATAACAGGGTGTCCAGCTGAACTCTTAGGGGAACTCTTTAGTTCCAAGTCTTACTTAGCCTGTACAATGCAATCCTGCATCTTCTGTAAGCTATCCTGATCAGCTGGCCAGGATGTGATGTTTCTCCAGTCCTTATTTTGAATCATTGAATCATTAAGGTTGGAAAAGACCACTAAGATCATCCAGTCCAACCATGGACCCATTCCCACCATGCCCACAAACCATGTCCCTCAGTGCTACATCTCCATGTTACATGAACACTTTCAGGGATATTAACTCCACCACCTCCCTGGGCAGCCTGCTCCAATACCTCCCTGCTCTTTCTGAGCAGAATTTTTTTTCCTAATACCCAACCTGAACCTCCACTGATGCAACTTGAGGCCATTACTGCTATGCTGTGCAACAAA